AAATCCTCTTACCTCTGCCTCAGAGTGCTGGGATTAAAGTGTGCACCTCCACTGCCCAGCAGGGTGTCTATTCTTGAAATAATTTGTTTGTTGTGAAACTGGTTAACTAACATCTTTTCTTCTCCCCTTTCTTCCCTCTCCCCTGCCCCTCCCCTTCTTCTTCTTGCTAATGTTTGTAAAGGCAGAAAAGGTTGTTTTCCTCTCTCTTCTTTGTGGTAATGACAGTGAGGTTTAGCTCAGCCCCACTGGCAGTAGGAAAAGTTATGGCATTTTCAGAGCATTCAACTGGTTTGGCAAAGACAAAACTGATCCAGGATTTATTTAAATCGTGATTAGGAATGCTGGATTGAGCTCTGTAAAGTAGCTGTAGGGCATGGATGATTTGCGTGCATGTGAGTGAGTGTGTATGTGTGCATGTGGTCACAAATGCCCATGTGTGGAATATATGAGGGTTTGTGCATGTGTGTATGCAGGTAAGCATGCTCCTGTGGGGAGGACAAAAAAGGACAAGTCCTTCCCTGTTACTCCCTTGGCACAGGGTTTCCTAGAATCTGGAGCTAAGTTGTCAGTCAGCAAGCCCCAGAGAGCTTCTGTTTCCATCCCTCCCAGTACTGGGGTTATAGGCATATCCCACTGTTGCAGGTATGCGGGGATATGAACTCTGGTCCTCTTGCTTGCACAGCGAACAGCGAACACTCTCTCGTCTACTGAACCATCTCCCAATCCTCTGGGTTGTTTTACCATCTCTATAGTAAAGGCAAGTTGCTTCTTGGAAGTTTGAGCTACCGGAGAGAGGTTAAATAAATGACAGCAAAGTCTCTCCTAATGAGGTGATTTGGAATAATGAAGGTAGCATGTAAGGATGTTAGTGATAAAAATAGACCAAAAGTCACTCTCAGAAAAGGAGTGGAGAGATGGAGAGTGGACCACCCGGCCTCTGGGTGTACTTAGAGGAAAATATCTTGGTAGGTGAACTGAGGTGGGAAGACCTACCCACTGTGGGTGGTGCCATTCTCTAGGCTGGTATCTTGGATGTCCAAAAAAA